TCTTTCTTTCTTTCTTTCTTTCTTTCTTTCTTTCTTTCTTTCTTTCTCTCTCTCTCTCTTTCTCTCTCTCTCTTTCTTTCTTTCTTTCTTTCTTTCTTTCTTTCTTTCTTTCTTTCTTTCTTTTTTGAGATAGGGTTTCTCTGTATAATAGTCCTGGCTGTCCTGGAACTTGTTTTGTAGATCAGAGTGGCCTGGAACTCACTGAGATCCACCTGGCTCTGCCTCCCAAATGCTGGGACTAAAGGCCTTCACCACCACTGCCCAGCTGACTCAAATTCTTTTCATAAACTTGATAGAACTTCAACTATCAGGCTGTAATAGATTGCTACCAGTGATATGATTTTTTTTCAGAAAGTTCTTCTTCAGTTAAATAAAAATGAAGCAGACATATCTCTATGAGTATTTATTTTGGTTTTTTTTTTTTTTCGAGACAGAGTTTCTCTGTAGCTTTGTAGCCTGTCCTGGAACTAGCTCTTTTTTAAAAATATTTTTTAAAGATTTATTTATTTATTATATAAATAATGTTCTGCCTGCATGTGTCCCTGCAGGCCAGAAATTGGCACCAGATCTTATTACAGGTGGTTGTGAGCCATCATGTGGTTGCTGGGAATTGAACTCAGGACCTCTGGAAGAACAATCAGTGCTCTTAATCGCTGAGCCATCACTCCAGCCTGGAACTAGTTTTTGTAGACCAGGCTGGCCTCAAACTCACAGAGATCCTCCTGCCTCTACCTCCTGAGTGCTGGGATTAAACGTGTGCACCACCACTGCCCAGCTTAAGCCATTTTTAAATCAATAACCCAGGTAAAATTTATCCTTCTCAAGATCTCTGATGCTGTTTGACAACTGGTAGCTTTGCTAACTGCCTTCTCAGTTCTCTATGTAAAATTCAAAAACCACAGGCCTCACTCTTCTACCTCATTACCAGACTGAAAAAAGATAAACTCATAAAACAGATTTCTCCTGCGTGTTAAGGTAATGTCAAGATGATGGGGAAAAAAACATGTTCTTTAAGGTTTATTTATGTAAAGACACGAGAGCTTAATATGTGAGGGTCTAAGAATGTTTTACTGTCTAAGGAGGTGTTTTAAGGTGTACAAATGTAAGTTAATATGTGTGCCTGCACGTTATAAAGGTCTGAGGAAAAAAACGTTTCCGAGTATAAGAAAGTGCATTAAGGTGTAGAAATGCAAGTTATCAGATTTCTCTCTCCTTATGCTGCTGTTCATAGTCTTAACATTAATCAATAAAATTCTGATAAGGTATTAAGCTGACTCTGGCAGAGTATTGCCACTACTATACTGCAAGATCAAGATTTTAAGTTCTTTGTTCGTTTTCTAACAATAGACCTAAAAGATAGTTCTCATTGTGCGAAAATTATCTGTCACCATCATTTCCGACATGAGTACACTGCTGTTTCTACAGAACAAATTTCAGTACAAAAACTGTCTAAAACTTATGTTTTCACAAACTCAAAAAATTCTTTTAAGTTCCAGAGAGCCGACTTGGACAGGTTAGATAGATGCACCTCTCCCTCAATTACCAGGCCCTAAGCAGCCCTAGTCTTCCCAGCTTTCCCTGGTCCTGACACCCTCCCCCTCTGTAGGCCCATATTTCTATATGATATGGCAGCCAGGCTCTTAAGCCATAGTTCGCACCTGAGGTTGCCTTCCAGACAGGCTGTCGCTACCCTAACAAAGAGTCAGGATGTTGTTCTGCTCCTTCGTAATTTGGAGGACACCTGGGTTAGAGATGCTAATTTAGGCCTACGTGTCAGAGCTGGCATACAGAGCAGGAAGATAGGGAGACGTGACAAAATGGGCATAGAAAGGTGTGGTCAAAGGTGTGTGGACATGACCAGAGTCATTCTCCCAGTTACCTAGGAAACAGAATGCTAATGAATTTCCCCCTCAGTTTATGTTTTGGTATAAAGGTTGTTTGAAGAATAAACAAGAGGAATTTTCTGGATGTGAACTCAGGATTTCATGAGGGATCACTGAGAATCTCCCTCCCAATAAAGCCATGTGAGTTGTATCTTTATTCCTGTGCCTCCACGCTCGCTGGTCGAGAGAGGTAGTTTATGTTGGGGCTGGGTTTGGACCCCGACAGTCCTCAATCGCCAGGACCCGAAGAAAATGTTTTTTTCCCTAAACTTAACCTTGTCCTCTGCTCTGCCAGACACTGGACAGTTCCACAGAGCCTGCACAGCAGTGAAGAATCCAGCTACCCCAAGATGTGAGTGCATCCCAGCTGTCTCAGGATCCTCCCACCCCAAATCAGCAGTAAGCAGTAAGTAAGACCTTGATGTCTTCATTCCCTTAACCTGCCACACCTAACTCCTCACCTTTTTAATAAGAAGTGAGGAGTGTTAGTATTCAGGCACACCCTGGCACAGCACATTTCGAGCAGATGGTATCCTGTCTCTTTAAGAGACAAGCTCCACCCACTCCTAATCACTCTTTTCCCACCTAGGCAAGAGAGTAGGCCTCTTTCCTTCCCTCTCCTCCCTGCATCTCTCTCCCCTCTCTCTGTATCTCTCCCTTTCCTCCTTTCCCCTACCCTCCCAATATCATCTTCTCAACTAAAACTCCATACTCAATCTTCCATCTGCATGGCCTATTCTGTTACCTGCCATGGTCCCTAACCCACAGTGGAACTTGCCAGGGTCACTTGCTTTGAATCTTACACAAATTTGTAAGTGGGGAGGGATCAAGTACCTGTGTGTCTTCTCTGTTCTTAGGCTGGCCAACATTTTATTTACATGCCTCTGTCTCCAAGGCTCCATATATTTCCTGACAGCAAATAGTAGGAGAAATTACTTTTTTTGTCAAATGTTAGTTTACAATAGGCTTATTATCCTGCCGTAACCTGATAGGGCCCACTTATAAATTAAAAACATAACTTGAATTACTGATACTTCCTTCATTAGAATTTGGAATACTAATCTGGGAAAATACCCCCTTGAAAATCATCTTGTCAAACCTGGCAGAAGCCTAACCCAGCCTCATGTCTCTACTGATAACTATGACATTTAATCAGAATAAATTCTTTGGGTAATCCTCACAGCAACCCTGTGATATTTGTGTGGATTTCCCCTGCTTGTTCACTGAGGAAACGGGGGCTCATAGAGAGGGAGATGTTACTCCCTAGAAGTTGTTTAGCTGGGAGATGGCAGAGACTGACCTCAGGGTGGTCATTTATATGATGTATGCCTTTAGTATTGTGGATAGTGCTACAGTTTACGCACGGCATAAGGATGCCCAACCAGAGGCTAAGTGTGCTCTGGGCTGAACCTATGATACACTCAAAAGAAGACTGCCCTGCTTTTTGAGACTGTGCCTCAGTAAGTAGCTCAGGCTGCTCTCAAAATACAGCACGGTGGGAGCTCCAGGTGGGTCCTCATATCATAAACTCTTGTAGAGAAAAGAACTCTGATGAATCAGGACCATAGCCTTTCCCCAGCAGTTTTCTTGGGCCCATGTGTACTTTCTTCTAGGTTCAGTTTGGGACTTAATCTGGAAAAACATTAAATCTATGGAGCTGTACCTTAGGATCTGTTTGAGGACTCCAGTAGAGAGTTCCCAGGGCTCTGCAGGATGCTGAAGACTTAGCTGTAGATGCCCCATGTATATTATCCTGTACTGTTAGGCTCAGCTTCTTCATAAGCAAATTTATCTTCTGGCCAAGTCAAGCTCTTGTTGCCATGGTGACGTCTAAGTCCTTGTTCTCAGCAAAATGGACCATCTCAAATTCCAGTCCATGCATACCACTCTCCAATCATCATTTCCTAGTCCTCTAGTTGACTTACCTGTTCTATAGAGAAATTTTTTTCTTGTTTAAGTCACATTAGCATTAAGTCAGTCATATGACCCTCCTGGAGAGTCTCATATGACCCTCCCCGGGTCATATGAAAGACAGCTCCCAGGATTTGAGGGTGTTATCTCTACACATACAATTATGTGAGCTTGGAAGAGGAACCACGTGCCATACAAGATTGTAGCCTGAAGCTGGACGGTGGTGGTGCATGCTTTTAATCCCAGTTCTCAGGAGACAGAGGCAGGTGGGTCTTTGTGAGTTTGAGGTCAATTTGGTCTACAAGAGCTAGTTCCAGGACAGACTCCAAAGCTACAGAGAAACCCTGTCTCGAAAAACCAAGTTACAATACCTGTGGTGGACCCCGGCATCTGGGAGGTAAAAGCTACAAGTCCCAGGCCAGAAACAAAACATCCACGATATAAAATAAGAACCCCCAAAATGGGCGTGGGGGAGGTGAGGGATTATGAGGCTGTCATCGCTGTCATCCCCAGACACCAGAGTGAGCAGAAAGGCAATACATGACACACTCAGAGATCCTCCGAATTGTCATCTGTGTTTTGGTACCCAAAAGAGAGTTTGAGCTTCTTCAAGGCTTGCAAAGTTTCGGAGAGCCTAGGGTTGGTGTTTTGGGAAGACTCCTCGGGGCTCTGAGTAGTTGGCCAGGATGGAAGGTGGTATTTGCCAGGTATTACTTTGTATGGAAGGAACACGAGTTGGCTATGAGGTGTCACTATGCCAGGTGGCACTCTGAACCAAGTGCTGCTCCTCTCTGGCCCTGGCGCTCTGTCATGTGACTTGTATACGCTGTGCCTCAGCTGGGGACTATTGCTTGAGTTTCATCACGTTCCTCTGAAAATTCAACCAAAGCTTAATGTCTCTTCTTGTTAGTTTGAGTCTGTCAGCCAGGGTTTGGCAAGTCTGCATGTTTGCATCTGGGTTCACTTCCAAGTGTCTTTTTAGTGCTTGGTGCTGCTCACAGGTGAAGTTGGGGTGGGAGTGAGGGGAGGGGGTTGATCCCAGCAGGCTAACCACCTCTCAACATCCAAACGTCCTTTTGAGGGTCCAGAAACAAATTGCATCAGCGTCTCCTCCGTTGGAGTTACTTCCAACTTGGCTGTTGCTCACTTTTCTTCAGTTCCTCAGTTTTGCCTTCAGGTTTCTTGCCTTCAGTTCCCGCCTTGTCTTCCCATCAAGATGGACTGTGACATGGAAGTGTAAGCCAAATAAATCCTTTCTTTCTCCAGTTGCTTTTGGCCGTGGTCTTCATCACGGCGATAGAAACAAACTAGGACACTGACTATATATTTCTTAGATATTTGGAGCTGCTTTGTGAATGAAATAGGAAAATGTTTGGGGTTGGGGGATAAAAAAAGCCCGAGAATACTATAAGTAGAGCTTTATGGGACATTCTTTTTTTGTTTCAGCTTTTTGAGACAGGGTATCTCTGTGTAAGAGCCCTGGCTGTCCTGGAACTCACTATGATGACCACACTGGCCTCAAACTCACAAAGACCTGCTTCAGCCTCTAACGGGGCATTCTTATGGAAGTTTGGAAGGCAAGAACCAAGAGAAACCAGACAGTACTGACCCAGCTCCTGATGTTTCAGAAGGAATAAGATCCCTACGGTGGAAGGGGGCTGGAGAGATGGCTCAGGTATTAAGAGCTGGCTGCTACGCCGAAGGTCACAACTATTTATAATGATATCTGGCGCCCTCTTCTGGCCTGTAGGTATACATGCGGGCAGAACATTGTATACATAATAAATAAATAAATCTTAAAAAAAAAATGAACTCTACCGGGAACCAGGCTAGAGATCAAAGAACCTGACTTTGTCCTACATGCTACATGTGTCCTGAAAACTGGAGTGAAGCTGGATTCAGGTGTTTGTGCAGGAGATCTGGATGGGGGGGATGTGGGCGGTGTCATTGTCACTGCTTCTCCAGGCAGCAGATGGAGCAGATAGGGCAAGGGGATTTGGGTGCTGAAAAGACAAAATTTAAAGGTGCAGACAGATGAATCCTGAGAAAACACCTTGTAACTGCTAGAGAGGTCAGCAAATGGTCAATCCTGAAAATATACATAAGTAACATTTTGTGGACCAAACAGGTTATAGTTAGGAATGTGTGTGTGTGTGTGTGTGTGTGTGTATAAACATCTATGCATGCGATGATAATTAGTGGAAAAAGAGGCCAAAAATTTGAAGAAGAGCAGCGAGGGGTATATGGGAAAGTCTGGCAAGAGAAAAGGGAGGGGAGAAATGTAACTATACTATAATCTCAAAAATAAAAACTTAAAATTAAAACAAAACAAAAAACCGAAGGGAAAAATATTGAAAATCTAAGAGAGATGGAGACAGACATAGAGGTTAGTGCCCCTGCCAGAACCGCCTGGGGCTGGAGATGAGTCAGTGCCTAAGCACCTATATTGCTCTTGTGAAGGATGGGATCTCAGGTCTCAGCACCCATGTCAGGTGACTCACAGGCACTTGTAACTCCAGCTGCCAGGAATCTGACACACCTTCTTCTGTGCTCCACAAGCACCTGCACTCATTTGTCTGCACACATGCGCACACAGGCACACACACATGGGGGGGGAGGGGGAGGGAGAGAAAGAGAGCTAGTTTAAAGCGGGAAGGATGTTATGCTTTGGGATATTAAGAAAGATGCCCTGAAGCTCCATCTTCGGAAACTCTTGTGCAGTTTTCCCCAATATCCCGTGAACTGATTGAACTCTGCAATGGTTCTGCTATTGTCTTTAGTTCCTACCAAGTTTTCAGCTCGCTGAATACTATGTGGATCTGATTCAATGCTTCTTCTCCACAGCCTCATGATTCTTGGTCTGAATTTCTCAAGAGTGTGGTTCACAGAAGGCCTTGGGCTGTCAAGCTGCTGACACAGCAGGAATCTTTTTGAAATGGCATCTTGTTGTCTCCCCTTAATATTTCCTTCTCCTCCTTCCTCTCCCAAAGAACACAGACTGGCATGGTTTGCAGGATGTCTGCAGCTCAGGCTCCTGAGAGACGGGGTCACTGTTACATTGTTGGACAGTTGGTTAGCTGTCTCTCTCCAGTCTACCTCCAGCCAAACATCCCCATCTCTTGTTCCCTCTGCCCCTAGCAGTTCTGCTTTCTACATTCCTCTCTACTTCTGTCAACTCAGTACTAATCGCTTGTCATATCAGCTTCTTTTTGTTTTCTTCTGACTCTTACCCACAATAACCAATATGTGAGTACACCCAGTACCACCAAATCCCTTCTGATCACAGTCTCCTCTCCCCCAGCTCTACCCAGATACTCCTTTCCTCCTCATCCACCCTACTCTTCTTCCTTCCTTTCTCTGTTTAGAAAACAGACAAACAAAACAGAATTAGAAGACAAACAAAAAACAAAGAAAAAGCACAAGAAACACATACAGACACCCGCCCCCCATAAAAACAAAACCAGAAACCATCACATACAAGCAAAAGGCCAGGAAGACCAAAAATGCCCAAACAAAATGATATGAGAAGAAAAGACTACAAACATTCCATTGAATTCATTTTATTTGTTGTTGCTGTTCTTGGCTATCTACTGCTGCGTGTGGAGCCTGCCCTTTAGTGTGCTTTGTGTACCCATTCCTTTCTGAGCAAGTGTCAATTGGAGATACCTTCTGGATTAGGGATGGGGGCTTGTGTCTATTTCTCCTCTAAACACTGGAATCCCATCGGGCTTAGACTCCTACAGGCTCTGTGCATGCTGCCCCACTTTCTGTGAGTTCCTATGTGCATTGGTCCTGCTGTGTCTAGAAGGTCTTGTCTCCTTGATGTCTTCCATCTCTTCTGGCTCTTATAATCTTTTTGCCTCCTCTTCTGTGGAGTTCTGGTGAGGACATCCCATTTAAGACTGAGCATTCCAAGCTAGGCTTGGTGGCACACGCCTTTAATCCCAGCACTCAGGAGGCAGAGGCAGGTGAATCTCTGTGAGTTCATGGCCAGCCTGGTCTACACAGTGAGTTCCACAACAGCCAGACTGTTACACAGAGAAAACCTATTTGGAAAAGAAAAGACTGAGTGTACAAAACTCTCCCACTCTTTACACATTGATTGTCCAGACAGGAATCTGTCTTCTCTGATGATGAGTGAGACACTCATCTATGGGGATAGCCCAATGTCATTAGAAGTCATTTTATTGTTGTGTTCAACAGAACAAACCCTTCCTTTCCTAAGCGTTCCTCCCTCTAAATGCTTGTCGTTGAATAAGCGCTAACTTTGCTTACCATATATCATAATGGCCGTGTCATAAAATCAGATAGCACCGGATGTTCATACCATAATGCTGGCCCATCCTGAAGCTCTTTCCCGCAGTGTAGTCAGGGTCTGGCTTTACCTGAGGGGGAGGGAACTGGGGCTGCTGGGAGCGGTGCTGGCCCGTATGTTTTTCAAATATTTACAGCTTGAACTTCCTCATCTCAAGCTAAAAATTTGTCCCCTAAGTACTTCAGTTGTATCATATAAATTTTGGTATGCTATGTTTTTAAAATTCATTTCAGTGTGTCCTCCAATTTCCCTTTGATTTTTTCTTTCATTTTTATTTCCACAAAACGGAGTGCATAAGTTTACACAAATTTGTGAATTTCACAAGTTTCTTTCTCTTACTAATTTAATTTTGCTTCGTATTCTTTCAGTTTTTTCTTTTGTGGTCTAGAGATGAAAGTCTAGGACCTCAGCATGGTCAGCCCCCAGTTCTCTAAAACCTACTGGGCTCTGCCATCTGGACTACGATATTGGTGTGTCTTGGAGAATGTTCTTGTGAACTTCAGGAAAATGTATTCTGTGCTAGGTGTGGTGGTGCATGTTTAGTGCTAGGACTTAGGAGGGTGGGGTTAGGAGTGCTAGAATACAATATCAGTCATGGTTACACAGTGTAAACTGAAGTTCCTCGAGAAAAGAAAAGATACATCTGTGCCGGGCGGTGGTGGCACACGTCTTTAATTCCAGCACTCAGGAGGCAGAGGCAGGCAGATCTCTGTGAGTTCAAGGACAGCCTGGTCTACAAGAGCTAGTACCAGGACAGGCTCCAAAGCTACAGAGAAACCCTGTCTTGAGAGAGAGAGAGAGAGAGAGAGAGAGAGAGAGAGAGAGAGAGAGAGAGAGAGAGAGAAAGAGCGCCACTTGGTGAAAGGAGAGAATACACACATAAATAAAAAATATGTTTGTGTATGTAGTATGCTGTTAAAATGTGAATTCTGGTCCTCTGACTGGGAGCAGCTCTTTTACCTCAGCTCTTCACTTCTGAAAGCATGCCTGCTCCAAGTTCATTCCCACCAGCTCCCCCTGGAGCACCTCTTAGCTACTGCACCCACTGCTGCATTCAGTGGCACTGAACTGTCCAGACCCTGTGATGAATGAAAACCTTGGCAGCTTGGCTGTCCCACCTACTTTGACCTCATTTGTCTGTAGCTGAAGCTTCCAAACCAAAGCTCTTTCAAAGGACTTCCATACAGCAGCCAAGTCCCATGGGGGCTGGAACACCCACAGCTCATTGGCTGGCTCTGGGGCTGGCATTGGATCTGTGTTTGCGAGCTTTCTCCCTGCCTATCCTGGGAACCCTCTTCTGAAACAACAGCTGTTGGCTTGCCATTGGGGCTTTTGATTTGGTTTGCTTTCTCTGTCACTTAAAGAAGTAAAAAAGTAGGAAACATCTCAAGCTCGACAGGTAACAGCTGGGAAATTCTCAAACACAGCAGGCCAAAGCAGCCCGGTGAAGGAATAAAAGCGTTCTTTCAGTGTGAGGAAGGACACCATACAGCAAGCACACAGAGCAAAACAGATGGGGAAAGTTAAGCCCCATTTCTCCTTGTCGGATTTTGGTTGTTGTTGTTTATGTCTTTGAAGGGTCTTCCTCCCCTAATTTAGGGTTGGTCAGTTTGAAGAAAGACAGGATGGCTGATTGGCCCACAACTATTGTGTAACATGTCCTGATCTGGCCTTGACTTTGTTGAGCTGGTCCAGCAGCAGGGGCCCTTCTGGCAGGAGAAAAAGCGTACAAGGCCTTTAAGTCAGCAAGCTTTTATCTCTGGTTAGGAGGGTGAGAAGGAAGACAGTCATGCTAGAAGGTGGAGAAGCAAACTTCTGTCCTGGAAGTTCACCATCATTTTTATCTTGTCATGGCACCTCTAACTATCTGTCTGCCTGTCCGGAAGTCTTAGTCCCTCAATTCTCTGATTCTGGACTTTGCCCTTTCAGAAGCTATGGCGCCCTTTTGCCATTTGGTGCCCTTTCTCATTCTCTTTGCCTTGCAAAGCAAAAGTAGCCATATTCCTCTTCTACTTCCTTTAGTTCGACCTTTCATGTCTCCTCTGTCCTGTGTGTGCTGAAGAACTAGCCTGCCTCCATCTTAGGCTTGAAAGCCATCTTTTAGTAAAGACAAACTAGGCCTATTCCTGTTTATGATTAAATCTGTTTCTCAAGGATTGGGCTATGCCCCACCTGTAACCTTAACTACAAATGTAGTCTGGACTGCCCGTTCCAGGAAGCAGCAACCATGTCTTTGTTTCCAAGTTATTTATAACCATCCTGCAATCCTGCCTTTGTTTCAAAAGGTTGTTATGATCACCTGTTCTGATTACTTTATGCCAACCCTGCAATCATGTATGTTTCAGGAGGTTGTTATGACTAACTTGTTATGCTTCTGTTCTGCTCCTGTGATCCCACCTATTTTCTCCATTTGCAAACCCCTAGCCCTGAACCAAAAATC